CTGATATATATTTTTTACATATATATATATAGTTGTTGATTGCTGTCAAGTCGTGCATGACTTTTAGTGACCCTATGAACAGAAGACCTGAAGCCTTTCTATAACTATTGACATTTATCAAAGTTCATAGAGTTTCTGGAGGCATGTTGCTTAGGAAGTGAGATATCTATCTATCTATCTATCTATCTATCTATCTATCTATCTATCTATCTATCTATCTCTATCTCTATCGCCTTTCTTGAAAGTGTTCCAAAATTGACTATTTAGACCAAGGTCAGTCCTCACATAGGGAAATGGGAATTGGCTTTGACAGCAGCATTGATATCAGAGGGTTGGTGTGGAAGGCCTAGGGGTCAGCCCAATTAGGTAAGGACTAAAAACACTCTAAGAAATAACAAGACTTTCACTTTTATACAAACAAATAAACAATAAAACAGTGCTTTTCTAGTTAATAATTGACAAAACCACTAATTGTCTAGTTAATTCCAACTCATAGTGACCCTCCCTCCATCAGGCTGTGAATCTTTACAATAAGAGATTATCCATCGGTCTCCCTCACAGCAGCTGGTGGATTCAAACTGTTGACCACGTGATCCACTGTGCCAGTTGAGATCTTATTTCACTTTCTAAAATGGAGGTTTAAAGTGAATATTCTTGGGGAAAATGGAAAATGGTAGCATGTTTTTAGAATGGGAACAATTGAGAAAGGTGGCTTATCCAGGACAAAGACCTGGATAGGTCACAGGATAAATGCAATATTGCCTTCTGGTGACGTTTGACTCTGTACAACAACAAATAGATTGAAACACTTAGTAATGGACCGACCATCAAAGAACTCTTACTAAACAACAGACAGTTTTAATTGAAAACCAACATATAATTTTCCTAATTATAAAACAGTACAATGTTTTTGTAGAAAATCCCTACTCCCACCCCAAATACAGAAAAGTCAGGGAATAAAATAAAAATAATCTATGATTTCTTAACCCAGAGATTAACTGCCATCAGCATTTTGGCATACAACCAGGTAATTTATCTCCTTTCCTCCTCCTCTGCAATATTTATGTTATGATTTATTAAATTTTCAATCATCCTACATTTTGGTTAGGAGCACAAAATATTACAGCCTTATGCCACTAGAATTTCTTTTTTTAAAAAAAAATTGATCCACAATATACATGAATGAAATATTTCATAAAGGAAAGATTGTATAAAATACAATATACATGTATGAAACACAATGCATAAGAATGATGAATTTAGGGTGCTCTTTCTGCCTAGTGGCAAGAAGCTGCACTGCAATCCCAGAGGTGTACAGTTCGAATCCACCAGATGTTCTGCTGGAGAAGGAGGGACAATCTCCTCCTGTACCTGTCAGACCCGATTTGACAGTACACAAACACAAAATAATAAAATGAAAAAACAATTTTTAAAAGAATGATTAATTTAAGAATAATATTAATTTAAAAATAATTAAAAAAGAATATTAATTAAAAAATCCTTTTCAGGGAGCCATGATGGCCTAGTGGCAAGAAGCTGTACTGCAATCCCAGAGGTGCATGGTTCAAATCCACCAGATGCTCTGCTGGAGAAGGAGGGGCAATCTCCTCCTGTACCAGTCAGATCTGATTTTATGGTACACACACACACAGACACACAAAGCAAAAATTTTTTAAAAACTACTTTTAAAAATAATTTCAATGATTTTTATAATCCTATGTTTTGATTCTATTGTGTCCTGCTTAATATTTTGCCTTGAACTTTTTTTTTTGTGTGTGTGTGTGAAAATGCTTTTCTGCTGCCTTCAAGGTCAGCAGTTTGAACCCATCAGCTTCATAGGAGATTTGCAGTCTTGCAAACCCTTCTGTTCTGTCCTGTTGGGTTGCTATGAGCACGAATTAACTCGATGGCGTTTGAGTTTGGTTTTAGTAGTAAACCAAAATGATACTTATCACATTAATGATTTTTTTTTAAATCCCTCTTTTAAAAATAAACAATAGTATAGCTTTGGAAGCAGGAATGGCATCCACTTCCTAACCAACATGCCTCCAGAAACTCTATGAACTTTGATAAATGTCAATAGTTATAGAAAGGCCTTGGGCCTTTTGTTCAAAGGGTCACCATGAGTCCTGCTCGACTGAAGGGCCACCACCACCACCAACAACATTACAGCTATGGGTACGATTTATCCTACTAGATTTAAAATCTATCTGGCATCTGAAAGAGCAGCCAAGGGATTTTCTGAAATAATGATCTTTCCTGTTTCTAACCAATAGATTTCTAAAATGATTTTGTTCTGCTCAAGTTCCTAAAAGCACCCAGGTCGTGCACAACTATAAGCCATTCATATATTTTTCAAAATGTTGTCTTAGACAATGGAAAATGTTAAGATAGGAAACCAAACCCCAAGCCGACCCATGGCCATCAAGTCCATTCCAACTCACATCAACCCTGTAGGGCAGGCTATAAGTGCTTCGTACAGTTTCCAAGCCTGTACATCTTTATGGAAGCTGGCCGCCATGTTTATTCTCCCGCAAAGCAGCTGGTGAGTTCAAACTACTGACCTTTTGGCTAGCAGCAGAGCATTTAGCTACAGTACCACCAGGTACCACTTTAGTTAGTAACGCAACTCAGTAAATCTGGTTGGGTTTCCTCCTCACCCCCCCTCCCTCCCCCGCCATGTAAGTGTATGCAGGCTCTCTAACACCGGCTCTGCCTGCTGTAGCAAATCAAGTCAGAGTGAGCTTAAAGTGCGCGTGTGTTTATTTTCCAATAAAGTAAAATAAACGCACTGCTGTGGAGTCAATTTAGAGTCACGACAAGCCTCCATTGTGTTTTAAGGCTGTAAAAATTTTCCCCTCAGAGCACCTGGTGGATTAGAGCTGCCAACGTTTGGATTAGCAGCTTTACACTTAATGCACTAGCCCAGCACTTAATGCACTAAGCCAGCAAGGCTCTTTAAAATAAAATAGGACCGCCCCCCCCATAGTATTGTCCTACAGAATTTATTTTTTTAAGGACATAAAGAGCTTTTATCATAAACTAAGTAAGAGGCTAATTCCCCCCCCAAAGGAAAAAAGAGATCAATTCAGAAACTATATAAAACAATTCTATTAAGGACTGCACTCTGCAGCACATCAATATAGCAGATATTTGCTAAGAGTTTTGAAAAATCTTTTTACTTAGCATGCTAGCCGCCATGCCTCTGAAACATGGTAAGGGAAGAAGCGGGAGGCTGCATTCTAGGGGTGAAATTGCCATTTCAAATTAAAGGGAAAATCTAGTTTCAGTTATTTTGGGGGTTTGGGAAATCCTTTCCTTACCTGTAAGGCAGTATAGGATCAAGAAGACCCTCCAGAAAGCGAACACCATTGTGTTGGGCTTCTCTGGAAGCAGCCCGGTGCCAGCAGCTTGCCTGGACGAGGCTGAGTCTCTCTAACTGGCTTCTTCAGTCACACTGAGGTTTTCCAGCCTTATCTGCTGGGCATTGCCTCTTGGAGCTTACTTATTGGGTACAGACTTTTCTCACAGCAGATTTGTGTTTCTTTGAAACACTTTTTTCATGGGGCGTGTATCCTTGATATATTTGCTACTGTGTTAATGATAAACCCACGCATTGAAATTCTTTAGGCTCTTTTCACACAGATTCTCTAAGTTCTTTTGCTTATAAACTATCTTATTAAAAATTATGCTGGAGGGGGAAAACCCTACACGTAGCCTCCATGCAAATAAAAGTTGCCAAGGTCAATTAATTTTTTTAATATTTCCATAGAAGTTTCACAGTATTAATTTCACTAGCCTCCTTTTGTAAATGAGGCCAATAAATTGGGATTTACTGGGTTTCCTGGCTTTACTGGGGTTTCCTCGGGCATTCACAGGAAGGGCACAGGGGTTATGAAGCGAAAAAGCATTAATTTCTATGTGAATAAACTTTAAACATGTCACACTTTTTGAAGCATTCTCCCCGCACTAAAACTGTCAGTAGAATTAATTGCTTGCTTATGTCCTCCAGGTTAGAAACCTATAGCACTTAGTTCCTAACCTAATTATGCAAAATCAGGCTAGCAAATATGTAAAAGCTTGAAGACTTCCACTGGATGGGTCTGACTTTTTAGGAGAAATAGGCTGCTTAATGGGTCCTGTAAGGATAGCCCCTTAGAAAGGGGGTTCATGTCCCTTAAAAAGGGCATGGGAAGTGGTACAGATGAGAAATCTTCACGGTGTACATGAATTTCTAGCCGAGTTCCTCTCCTGCTTAAGTTACCCTGAGAAACAGAAGGGTTGCCTCTGGCTATTCTCGTATGCTCTCTAACTCCTGTCATTTCTATTTCTATAAAGTCTCTCAGATTTTCTCCTTCTCCTATCTAGACCAGGAACTCAGTCCCTCATCCTTACAGTAACAGCTTTTATTTTTTAAATTATTCTCATCCAATAATGTCTATATATTTTGTTTTATAACATTAATTGCAATTGTAAAATGCCATTATTTACATTTTAAGACATCCTCACTGTATCTTTCTTTCCCCTTCACCTTCTCCGTCTATTTGCTAATGTCTGTTCCCTCTCCATCCCCTCCTGTCCCTCTCTGTTAATCCTCCATAATTTTTCCCATGTGTATAAACCTTTCTTTAGTCTTTTTTTGCCTCTTGCTTTCTTCCCCCACGCCCTATTCAATCAGTTAGGCATGTCCTGTTCCAGATTTTAGATGAGATCAGGCGAGTTTGGGGTGGTATAACCATAGACTCTACCAGATTTTAATTGCAACGCCCACATTGTCTGATTGTCTATTCATTTCAGGTTGATCTTTTTCTCTAACCCATTACAGTGTTCATTGTCTATCCATTCTATTCCTGCTCTTCTCACCCTCTCCCTCCCTCATATCCATCCTATCTTTAAAATAATGGTTTTACACAGTATTTGTTATTTTTTTGACCAACGTTTTTTACTCAGTATAATGTCTTCTAGACTCGTCCATGTTGTGCAGTGTTTGATGGGTTTCATTGCAATAACAGCTTTCTTAACAGTCTCCCTAAACTCTATACGCCAGGCACTTGCCAAAGTTTTAACTCTGACTCATTGATTGATATTCTCTCTCTCTCTCTCTCTCTCTCTCTCTCTCCCCCTCTCCCTCTCCCTCTCTCCCTCTCTCTCTTTCTCACTGTCATCCAGTACTATCTGGTTCATAGCTGACTATGGGTTTTCTGTGGTTGGAAGTTGCATGGGAGGAGATTGCTCATCTTTCTACCATAAAGCTTTTGCTGGATTTGAACTGCCAGAGAGGTGTTTCCTTTGAGTTAGCAGTGCAGCTCCCCACGATTACCTCACCAGGGCTCTCTAACCCTGAGTAAGTATCTTCAATAACACTCTCTACGGTTCTTTCCTCTTTATCTGGATTCTGGGCCTTCCAAGATCTGATCTTAAAATCACCTGAACTTTTGTCACAGTTAAATCATCCAGCTGGAAAAAATGCTGTCGAGATTTATTGCCTCAAAATGTTCAGTCACATGAAAAATGAGCAAATTGGAAGTTATATATTTTCTCAACTTTCATTTACAGAAAACAGTTTGATCTCAATGTCAATTTTCCCACTACTTCTCAGAATGATGTTTTGCTCCCATCAGGCCTGTTTCCTCCATGCTTATGTCTGATGCCAAACCTTGGCTCCAGGTGACCTTCATCTCGACTTAAAATTTCTTCCTTCCTTCTTTGGCTATCCAGGTATATTCTTAGTGTCAACCAGCCATGCTTTCCTATGTGAAGATTTCGCTGAGCCAACATATCAGTCCTCTCTGGGCTCCCCACCTTGGATACTCCCCACATAGTACCCGGAATCCAAATCCTACACTTGACACCTGATTGGTCTCTAGTACTGTCCTATTAATTAAATGGGTCTCCCCTAAACAGAGTGATTATGAGCTACTCTAGGGCAAGACCCAGGTCTGAAACAGACAATTCTCAGTTATGAAGGGATGAGTCAACATAATCTGTAAAGACAATGTTCTACATCCTAACTTGATGAGTAGTGATTGGGGTCTTCAAAGCTTTCAAACAGTCAGGTATGTTGTCACTGTTGGTCTTTCCCCGTCTGGAACAAGTAGAGGGAAGAAAAGCAAAGATGCATAGAAATAATTAGTTCAGTGGGAGATGTGGATCCTTTTTCAGCTTTCTGCAGGTAGCAGTCCAGTTTTGCTAGCACCATTTGGTGAAGAGATTGTCAATTTTCTATTTAGTAGCTTTGATTTCCTTGTCAAATATCAGTTGACCATAGATAGCATGGTCCGCTTCTGGGTTCTCAAGTCTGTTCCATTGCTCTGTGTTTCTGTCATTGTACTAGTATCATGCTGTTTTGATTACTAATGTTGTGTCGTAGGTTTTGAGGTCAAGGGGTGCTTTGCCTCCCATTTCATTTTTCTCCTTCAGAAGTGCTTTGCTTATTCAGGGTCTCTTTCCTCTCCAAATGAACTTGACAAAGACTGGAAAGTATTATGCTAAGAGAACTAAGTCTCATAAGGACAAATACTATATAAGACCATTATTGTAGAAATAGATAACTAGTAAAACATGAATGAGCATCTAAGGGAGAGGGAGCAAAGAGGTGGGGACGGGCGGGAGGATAATCATGGGGTCACATGGTTTATGGGTAGAGGAAGGAGTGGATTGGAGAGATGAGTGGATCTGGTGTGAGGGGCAATGTATGCGAACTTTGTAGGTCAACCAATGTAAAATTTTAAAAAGCTGAGTAAAATATCTCAGTCACAAAAAGACAAATACTGCATAATGCCACTGTTATAGAATGGGACTGACATCAGGGTTGGGGTAAGACTGAGAAAAACTGGATAGATTATGTATATTGCATTGAAACAGATGAGGGAGAGAACAGTTTAAAAACGATGTATGATAGGGCATTATGATTATCACAGGAGTCCAGAATTAAGGTTGCATAGTGGAGTGTACTTGGGGTGGGGGGGATTGTATACCAATGAGGAAGTTTATCTTTTGCTTTTCAAAGAGAGGAATGAACTGGGGGGGGGGGGGAGCTAGAGAAAAAAGTGCAACAATGAATGAATGGAAATCCAAAATCTCTGTAAATGTTCATTAAAAATAATAAAATTTAAAAAATTTTTAAAAATAAGAAAATATTTATGTCCTAAACTTCCATGATGTCCTTCTACCACCACTGCCCACTCTCAAAGGGATCACAGCAGAGTGCCCTAGCCAGATTGACAGAAACATGTGGAAAAAACTAAAAAACATAAAACCAGCTAGCTTCACCGGCCTGTTAGAGACTGGTGGAACCACTCAGATGATAGCCTTTTGGCCACCCTTCAAGCCTACAACAAAGTTCACCCCTGTGACTTGACTTCCAAGCAAACAATAGACTTGTAAGGTGTACTGTTACACCAGGCTGGCACTCCTGAGAACAATCGACTGTGCAAGATCAAAAGTACACCATTTGCCCAGTGATAAAGCTCAAAAGGCAGGAAGGAGTAGGATGGAGGGATTTAATGGAAACAAGACTCAGAGGGAGGACATGAGAAGAGTGTGCAATGTCATTAATGTCAGTATTTAATATTTTTAAAATGTCTGTCTCAAGATGTATTGGTTATCTCATTGACTGTGCTTAAGAATACACTTTCTCTACAGAATAATGCTATAAACAGAAGTCTCAGGCCCAGAGTTGCATGGTGCATGGTTTAATACTGGCTTGAATTTGCAGTTCTGGGCCATAGAGAACTTCTTTTCCCTTTTCTAAGACATAAGCTGATCACAAGGAAATTTCTTTTCCATAAATACATGTCTTTGGTACCCATCTTCTTTTCTACCCCATCTAAGGCTCACAGTTCACCCCTCATGTCCCTAAATTACCCTAAAGGAGAATCTCACACTCCCGAATATTCCATGCTCTCAACTTTTTTTTTTTTTTGCTTTTTATCTTGATTCTTCCCTGTATAAGCAGATGTCAGCTCCATGTTAGAATGGGAAAGCAACTCAAAGAGGTTCCAATGAAGATTTGCCAATCTGTTTGCACTATTGAAACTATAATTGTTTCTCCAACTGAATCTCTAACTTCAAATACCAAGTAAGGCAATAAAGAGAAATGGTAAGAGAATTTGTAAGGGGACTCTCTGGACAGCCATATGAACTCTTCTCATCCTTAGTTCTGCCTCTACCACTGCAAGTCTCCAAAAGATCTAGATTTTCAAAATGGCTCCTTTGGGGGTAATACTGGTGTTTGCCGTAGTGGAAGAGGGGGACTGGGCAAAGAACCGTAAGCCTAACGTTTGTAAATCAGAGATTTCCAGTGATTCCTCCTGAAGCTTATAGGTAGGATAATCTTACGGACCCATGCTTCCAAATTGGGAGGTGGGAGGAGATTGCCTACCTTTCTCTTGTACAACAGCTGGTTCATTCAAACCACGTGTCTTTGAGAGTTACCAGTGCAGCTCCTTACCACAAAGCTACTGGAGCAGTATTAGAAATGACGTTAAACAGAAGGTGTAAAGTACAACAACAGTCCTAGACAGACATAGACACCTGGTCACCTACACACATGGGTAGGCATAAAGAAAGTGCTAAATGATCCAAGTATGGGGAATCTCCTCTCATGCAATTAACTGACTCTGAAAACCCACTGGAGGGTCAGCTATGGGTCAATTCCAATTTGACAGTACACAACAACAAGTGATCCAAAGGCTTCTCTGGTGGTTCCAATTCAACAGCAGTTCCACAGGAGAAAGATGGCCAAGCTCCTCCCGTGTAATTTATAGCCTTGGAAACCCAACAGCTATGAGTTGGCTTTGACTCGACAGCAATGAGAGGGAAGGAGAAGTAAGAACTAGCTAATTGGGTCAATAATATGTCTAAGTAGGAGGATGCGATTTCAGAGTATGGTCAAAATTCATTTCCCTCAGAATCCCTTATACAAACAAAACCCACTCTGGAACATTTAAGTAAAATGCTTACACTGATGTGATATTATACTTAACTGGAACAGACAGAATTCTGTCCCGCTCTAAGAGAGAATCCTCTGTTTGAACTAAGTGTTAGGAAGAGGTGAGCCATTAACTAGTGTGTGAAATACCAGCAGCTCTTCAGGAGAAAAACCTTTTGCTCCCATCATGCCTGGAGATGGGAAATCTCCCCTCATGCCATTGACAGCCTCAGAAACCCAGCGAAGGATCACCTATGTGTTGCTTCTGACTTAATGGCAATGAAGAAGTGAATGAGTCTCGTTTTTAAAGAGTCATCATTTTCAAACTGGGCTTTTCCAGTTTATCTTCTAAATGAAAAGAAATAGGGCAGGCATTGTCTACACTTTTTATAAGTGTCAGAAATGTGTCTTTACCAAGGCCGCAGAGTCAGCATTCGAAACTGTTCCTCCCATCACATCCCACAGGGTGACTAAAATGTAACAAAACCTCGGCTGTTCCCAGGCTCCTCCTGTGGGAACGTTCAGAGAGTGGTGATATCTGCCTTAGTTCTGTTTCTTTTTTAAATCTAAAAGTACAAAAGTAATACATTTTGAATGTAAGAAAGATTTTAAAGAACAAAGGGCATAGAGAAAACAATGGAAGTACTCATACACATGTTTAAGCTGTTCCCATGCTTGTAAGTATTTTTCCCTCAATTTTCCTCTATGCATTTATTTATACACACATACATTTTGTCTTTTGACATTAAGGAGGCTGTTCTATACAACTGTTGCATAACTTGCTTTTATTAAAAAAAGCACTTTACAAGGGGAAACTTATTTATGCCTTACTGTCACTATATTCCACTAAGGGAACTCTGGCGGCCTAGTCTGTAGAAAGTTGCACTGCTAACCCAAAGGTGGTATCTCTTGGGCATTTTGAATCCATGAGAAACTCTGCATGAGAAAAATGGGCCATCTTTTGTGAGATTTACAACCTCTGGAAAAACCTCCTGGATTTGGATTCAACTTGACAGCAATGAGTGAGTGATATAAAACTATCTCTAACTATGTAACACTCAGGAGCAAGATTTTGAAAAATACTGTATAACATGGGAGAGGCTAGAGAGCATTATGCTGAGTGAACTAACTCAGGTGCATAAGGACAAATACTGACCATTACTGTAAAAACAGGAGGGTGACTAGTAAAACATGAATAGATATCCAAAATGGAAGGGGAGGGAGCAGGGGAAGTTGAGGATGGGGAGGAGGGAAATCACGAAACCACAGAATTTGATGGGTGGGAGGAATTAGGAAAGATCCAGTGGGAATCTGAAAAGACAGGGTAATAGTGGTCATAGACAAATCAATGGTGATTAATTTTTTTAAATAAAATTTTTTATTTTAATTTTAACAAAAGTTTACAGAAAAGTCAGATTCTCATTCATTCATTGTTGTATATTTTATCCCCTCTTCTCCCTTTGCCCTCTCCCAGGTCACTCTTTTAAAAAATATGCATTTATTGTTGCTCAATTACCTCCCCCACCAGTCCTCTTTTCAATGTACCTCTTATTCTGGGTTGTTGTCATACAAATAATGCCTAATCATATACACCTTTTTAAAACAATTCTTTCCTTCATCTATTCCAATGCAGTGTTCATTATCTATCCACTCTTACCCTCTTCTCCCAAATCCCCATGTCAGATCTGCTTTATAACAGTGGTGCTGTGCAGTATTCGTCTCTTTGTGGCTGGAAAGTCTCAGTCAGCATAATATCTTCCAGGTCACCCATGTTGTGTAATGTTTTATGAGTTCATTGTTTTTTATTATCAGTTCTATAAGACACAATGTATAGGACTGATCATGTGAAACACTATGCAGTGTATTGCAAGATGGGTAAGGTGGTGGG